TCATCACCATCATTTCTTAAAGACATATTTTAAATCTAAAAGCCCATAGTGAAGGAGCCAAGTCATGCCCCTTCTACACGGCCATATAATACAGGGCCCTTCTACAAAGCTCTATATTCCAGCAGATCAAGACAGAAAATCCCACATTATCTGATGTGGACTCAGATAACCCAGTTCAAAGCAGATATTGTGGGATTTTCTGCCTTGATATTCTGAGATATAGGGCTATGAGGAAGGGCCACAGATTGTCAAAACAGATAATCCACATTATCTGTTTTGAACTGGATTATATGGGTCTACACTACCATATAATCCAGTTCAACGCAGATCATCTGGATTCTTTATGGCAATGTAGAAGGGGTCTCAGAATCTTTCTTGTGAAACGACTTCCATAGTTTTGCCATGTAAAGACCACATCATGGTCATCATGATGCAGAATAATCACAGGATGTCTCAGACCTATACCTATTGATAAACTCTACAAACTAGCTGGCATCCCCCCCCCCCCCGGATGTGCAACAGTAAGTTGCTGCTAACTATAACCGCTTTGAGTCCCCCTCGGGGTGAGAAAAGTGGTATACAAATACTGTAAATAAAATAAATAATAAATAAATAACTACGAGAGAAATAAGGTTGAACATTGAAATCCATCCACTACATGGCTATCAACCTCCTCCCAGTAGACTCAAATCAAGGGAAAACTTCATGAGAACCACCACTCCTCTTAATGTTCCCCCAGCAACAGCAAGAGTAGCCCTCTGGGCAGCTAAACCAGGAAACCGCAACTTGATGGCCCCCCAAGAGGGTCTTCCTCCAGGGGCAAACCAAGAATGGGCAACTTGGAAGTCCCTGAACAGACTCAGAAGCAGAGTGGGCAGACCAAAAGACTATCTGGCAAAATGGCCCTACCTAGAAGAACTCTCCACCTTGAGCGATTGTGGAGCAGAACAAACAACTCAGCACCTGTTTTCTTGCATACAATGCCCTGCTTCATGCACAGTGGAAGAACCATTTAAAGCTATAGGCAGTGATGTCACTGTTGCCCGTATGCGGTCAAAAAATATTTATCTTCTTGTGCTCCCTCTATTTTATCCGTTTTATTTGTTTAAAACTTATTTATGTAATACTTTTGACACAAAATAAATAAGATCATGGCTGATCAGAAAAGACTGATAACTAAAATCCCTCTGCCAATCCATATAACTTCATATTCCATATGCATTTTCATGAAAATATAGTTCCTTTATGTTTGTGTATATGAATGAGAAGTCAATTAAATTTTATACAGTTATAGACCAACTTATCTGTGGAAAGAGGGAGGATGTTTAAAAGATACTGAGGACTTTAGTACTAAAAGAGGAAAAGTAAACATATCATGTCTCATATAGTGTCAAATAAATAATCCTCAAATTGAGAAAAATATTTTTCACAGGGCAATAGCAATTTATATTGCTACAGTGGTAACTGAGAATAGGTGATAAGTAGCTTCTAGCGGTACCTCTAAGAAATGGGGGGGGGGGAGTGCAGGAGCTTCTGAGATGTATATGAGAAGTGTGGATTTCTCAGATTCAACTGGACATCATAAAATATATCAAGTATAGTCTGTTCACATTAGTATTCCTCCTGAATAAACAAGCATCCCGTTTCAGATTTCTTTATTAACCTAGCATCAGTGTCAAATACATCTCACTCTGGCTACCAGTTTTAAAAATCTGGCTACCAGTATTAAAAAAATCTAAAATCATAACAGTAAATAAAGAACACTCAAAAACAGGGGAACTTCAGACAAGAAACAATCAGGGACAGCTAATCACAAAGGATTCCCCCAGGCAGTAAGAAGTCACACTTGAAACTGAAAGGCTATTAAATGCTAATCAAGGTGGCCAATCAAAACATTCACACCTACCTCAAACAGACAAGAGTTTTTTCTTCCACACTGGAGTTTCCATAGATATATAAACCCAATTTTCCTAGTCTCCAACAGACCTCACAACCTCTGAGGATGCCTGCCATAGATGCAGGCGAAACATCAGGAGAGAATGCTTCTGACATGGCCATACAGCCTGGAAACACACAACAACCCAGTGATTCCGGCCATGAAAGCATTTGACAATACACTGAACTTCTCTCTCTGACACTAGATTTAAAAAAGTGCTTTTTACAACTGTGTAAGTGTTAGAACAAAGAAGGGATGATCTCTGGGTTGATTTTAAAAGCCTGCCCTAAGCCATTTTATATCCTGGAAATATTTATCTGTAATTATTTAGGCACATGAGCATTTCATATTATTTAAAAGAGTACGAGTTATGTTTAGTTTAACGGTATTTAGTTAAAGCTGTAGTTGGATTTCCTCCTGTAGAAAATAAAGCGATTTCAATATTTAAAGGATTGTGATGTTGATCTATGAGGTTAAATAGCATGATGTTTTTCTTAAATATTGCAGAAGATGATATTATGTGTTGGTAAAATATGACAAATCATGGCTTTGTGGGAACTGCAGCTTACTATGAACAACCAGTATACTGGTGCACATTGCTGAATTGCTTCCAGTTGCAGAGGGTGCAGCTAAACCAACCATGCAACACTGTTCCTTGGTTGGTTTCTTATGTCATCTGGCAGGAATCCCAAACAATAAACTGGAGCATCAACACAAGACTGCTTCTCTAGATTATCTCTCTGGTTTGTTGGGAGGCAATAAACCAGGGAAGGGATGTTTGTAGTTGCTAGATGGCACAGTAAAGCCCTTGTGACATGGAGCACCATAGGTTATTTTGTTACTCCTGCAGGATGCTCATTCAGGACAAGCCAGAGTTCCTATAGAGCTCATAGAAATCAAGTGCACACACACCCAGTGTACATGTGTACGTGTATGTTGCCCATGCACAATAATGCTTCAAGGCCCATGATTTGATGAGATACTCTTAACTTCTTTTAAAAAAACACGAGAGTATTGTAACTCATATTTTCACAAGGGGCATCTAGGAAGTCGCAGTTCCTATTGGGGCTGGATCTGTACTGCCCCATAGGACCCTTCCAGGCAGGCCCAAAAATGCGGGACCTGTCATGCTTTTACTGGAGGCATCCAAATGATTTTCCCCCTTGCCCTCTTCTTTTAAAAAAAGAATTTCTATGCGCCAGGAGGACTCCAGCAGTACCTTAATGGTGGCCGGGTAAGCATTTATTTCTTTTAAGGGCTTCTTTTGGGGGGCTTTGGGGTGACCCCATGCCACCCTGGTAGTTACCAGAATGGCATGGGGACACCCTCGGGGAAAGCCTGGGTTTTTGGGGCAGAAATGTGCACCAAGTGGGGTTTAAAAACCTGCTTTGGTGAGCATTTCTGTCATGCCTGGAAGTGCCCATAATCCAGCATGCCATGTAATCTAAATCCCAGAAACTAGATTACATGGCAGTTTAAAAAGGCCTGGGATTTTCCTATTGTGCATTAGCTAAAAATACAACGAATGTTTATATCAAGGCTTCTTGTCGGACATTGTGTTTCTAGTCCTGACCAGCCAGATGCAGTTGGAAAACTTAATAACAGGACAGGAAGTATTCCTTGAAGTTTTTATTGTTTGTTTTCAGTGATAAACTTCCTTTGTGTATGAAGGTTGCATGATAGCCACTATTATATATGTATGTATGTATGTATGTATTTGTGTATGTGTGTGTGTGTGTAGCATGTGAACCAAAAAGGGCTGCATTTGCACAGAACAGTAACCTTGTGTGTTGTCTTTAAGTCGCATGTTGACTTATGGTGACCTCATGAATTTTATACAGTGATATGAATTCCATTAGGATATCCTGTATCATTTTCAATGAAATAATGTATCTTTCCAGCAATTTTTTTGTGACCTCGAGCCATTCTAGTACACTTCCATGAGATTTCCTTTGTCTTTTGAACAAGCTCCATCTGGTCACTATTAAAGAGAATTGCTATACATGCAAACATTAAAGGAAAATGTATTGTTTTAACGGCCAATGCTGTTACTAATTTTGGTTTCAGGTTTTGTTAGGTTTCAAACAACGGGTAGTTGGGGGTTCTGAAGGAGCTGTTCCCTGTGATGTTTGAGCAGGAGAGACGAGAGAAGAAATCAGCTTAATTTCCATGTGTAACATTCACTCATTTTGTCAGTGCATAGTGATAGCAACATGACATTTGATTAAGAATATGTGTGTGATCTTTTTTTGTTGTTGTAGTGAAACTAGAGGCTTCCAAATGAAGAATCATGGCTAGGCTGGAATCATGAATAGCTTTATCCAAATCCCAGTCATTCAGAAAGTGTGCCTAGAGCCTGAAATGGGGCAGGCAAAGGGTGTTGTTTTGATTGAACCAGGCAAAAAGTCCAGACTCCTGATACTGTGAGAAAATGGGGTATAAATAAACATAATAAACATAATAAACATAATAAACATAATAATAATAATAATAATAGACTCTGGAACAAGCCAGTCAAGGTGGTCCCAGTGGTGATTGGAACACTGGGTGCAGTGCCTAAAGAACTTGGCCTGCACTTAAACACAATTGGCGCTGACAAAATTACCATCTGCCAGCTGCAGAAGGCCACCTTACTGGGACCTGCATGCATTATTCGCCAATACATCACATAGTCCTAGACACTTGGGAAGTGTCCGACGTGTGATCCAATACAACAGCCAGCAGAGTGTCTGCTGTGGACTCATCTTGTTGTGTTTCAAATAATAATAACAACAATAACACTGATGCCAAGCCCGACTAATCTAAAGGTGACAATCTCTTGCTAAGTGAAGGTGCTGACATTCCTCGCTCCTATTCCCTTCTGTCTTAGAAAAGGCATCTTAAAGTGTCAAAGTACTGTAGTTGTTTCTCAGAGTCACTTGATCCTTTTGGAGACCTTGACTTTCACAGTCAAAGAAACCTCATTCATTGTGGTTGAGTTTTATGTTTTAATAATTTTTAGTAGATTCTCATATTTTCTCATATTTTTAAATGTCCTTTTGGATTTCTTTCTTTTCTTTCTCAGGCCCACCCAGAATTGCTGACAAAGTGATCCACCGGCAATCTGTGAGATTAGGAAGAACAATCAAGCTCCTTTGTCCAGTGGAGGGAGATCCGCCTCCTCTCACCATGTGGATGAAAGATGGACGCACCATCCATAATGGATGGACAAGATTCCGTGTCCTCCAACAAGGGCTGAAAATCAAGGAGGTGGAAAGTGAGGATGCCGGAACGTACATCTGCAAGGCCACCAATGGTTTTGGAAGCATGAATGTGAACTATACCCTCATTGTGATTGGTGAGTACAGCAAGAGTTCGCTCTGTTCTTTGAGAGGCGGGTCCTGCCTCCTGTAGTTGGAAACACTGTAAATAATCTACCAGCTGCCAGTAAAACTAGTCTGTCCTAATATTTGAGGATGGCCAAGGCTACATACAGTGCTGCACATCTCTGTGTCACAGCCAACAGCTTCCAGATAAGATTAGTCAGTGCTGGTGCCAAAGGTTACAAATAAACAGGAGTGATGCAATAATCACTGAAGCACAGATCACAGTGAATTCCACACAGGAAAAGTTGGGCGATAAGGGGAGGTCACACTAGCCTTTGTGATCTCTGCTGGAACACATTTGTTCCCAAACAACCTTTTCTCCAAATTCATGTTTCAGTGTACATAGGCAAGGACACCAGACGCACTATTATCATCTAGAACAACAGCAAATGCCATCAGAACAGCATCAGACCTAACAATTTTCCTGTCTCATGGTGACTTAAAACAGTGACAAGGAGAGCATTTTCTGTCTGCGCTTGCTGGATACAGAATATTAAAATTTGTAATCAGTTGCAGTCACAAAATAGAGCACAGACGTCTGTATTCAATAGCATAGCAAAGCTTCTGAGAGACCTAAAAGAATGGAATGAAGTGCCTTTGCCACTGTATTTTATTCCCTTGATTCAAAAAAGTGCATTGGATAGACCACATTTCTCATTTCTGATACAGAACATATGCCATGGTCAGCAACAGGGAAAGAGTGGCAGGCAGTGCAAAAGGAGCTAAAATCAAATCAAATCAAATCTATATAAATAAAAATATAATGTTAGTTTATGGGATTAACATAACTCAAAATTCACTGGATGAATTGACACCAAATTTGGACACAATAACCCTATCAGGCCAACAAGTGACCATCACTCTGAAAAACTCAACAGAAGAGACTTAAAAAGCCAAAAAATAAAAATTACATTACAACTCATGCACAAAACCACATATATACACATATACACAAATATACACACATATATACACACACAAAACACATATACACAGAGTGGGCTACAGCACTGCATGGCAGGGGATGGTTAGTAAATAAATAAAGGGGAAGGAGGCTCATGGACCAGATTTTTATCCTCGTGGCCCACTGGTGGTCCACAGACTACAGATTCAGAACCACTGTTCTACACAAAACATAGAAAAAAATGTATTTTCTCAGAGAAATATTATTTCCTGGGTAGCAAATACTGTTTTCATCCCACAAAAATGTGCAAATTTTGTACGGTATCAGTTCTGAACTGTGAATGTTATTTAAAGAGTTTCTTGCACTGGAAAGAAAACAGCTAAAATATTAATCATTTCCTTAGAGAAATGAAATGAGCAGATAATAACATCCCTATTTAAAACATGGGGTCATGAAAGAATTAGAGCAGTAGATATTGAAAGCAGCATCACAGTCCCCTCCTCTACTAGATTATCATGATAATGCATATTTTATGTCCACTCTGATCTTATATCTTGCATTCCTTGGTTTCTTACTAATAACTGTAAATGTGATATTATCTGTAGGATCCTTCTTTACTTTCTCAAAACTGCTGCTAATGCAGTTTCAGTTGGCTAAGGGTAAGGTAAAGATATACTTGCTAAAAGGTAATTATCTTCTGTGTAAAAGCTAAGAACAGCATTTCTTAACATGCAATCTGTGTGTACTTAGACGTACATCCTAATTAGTTCTGTGAGACTTACTCTTAAGTAAGTATATATAGGATTATAGCCGTAATGTCTTGCAATCTGTGTTTCTCATTAGTTCAACCGTTTCTGCTTGCTTGTCTGATTTTACCATTCCTAAATTGCCACTGGCAGACATTTCATATTTCTCTCCTGCTAACTCAGTTCCTCTTAAATTTTTTAATACTTTCTGTGAAGGTTCCAAGTGAGTACAAGGAGTGATTGTCAGATTTTTTTTCCAGAGGTTCCAGCTTGATTCCAGAGTTTAAATTGGCTTAGCGAAAGTTAAGACTACTTTCTAACATCTTATTTTGAAAACCTCTAGTTTCTCTTTCATGTTGTGAAAACTTTTGGGTTATATCTTATGGGCTAAATCAATTAGGTCACCTAAGAAGGCCCATCAAAATCAACAAAACTGGGATTAGTTGTGACTGTTAAGTCTTATTTCAACAGGTTTACTCTAGGTATGATCCTTCCAAATAGTACTGCAGAAGGTCTAAGATCTAGTCACATAAGGGAAGGTAAATAAAGTTCATGTTGATTTCAGGATGAATAATCTCATTAATTTATTCCATATTTTTATTTTACTTTATTCATAAAAATCATAAGTGATTCTTACTGTTCCAAGGTCCACAGTTATAACTAAGCTTTCCTTCTAAAAAGTAACTAGTTACCTTTCTAAACAATTGACTGTTGAAAGGTGGTGGTATGTGGCACAAAAGTCTTTCCTACTATCTTTATCAACACTCACAAGGATCCATTGACACTGTATAATAAAAATATACCTCCCTGAATGTATAGGGGAAATGTTCCTGAACTTAACATGGATACAGGAAACTTGGATAATAGCAAACCTATTGAAATTAACAATTGATGGCAAAGGTTTCCATAGAGTCACCCTGGAGGACCTAGAAAATTCCCAGAGAAGACCTAGCTTATTGGATGTGGGTAATTGTCCCATGGGTAGAGGGTCAGCACTATATTTCACACTCACTGACATGGCAACATCCTATTGAATGTTGGGATTTGTGGTCTTCGGAAGAGCATTTAGTATCCTCATCGAGACAACTTCTCCATTGCCTCAAACCGAACTAGAAGCTCTGAAATTCCATAGGATGTTGCCATGGCAGTTAAAGTGGAATGTAATAGGATATACGTGTGTAGAGGGAATTGGCCCAGAATGTAAGAAATGTGATCTTTTCCTTCTTCACAACTGAGGGCATATCCCCAGGAGTATGAAAATAAATTAGAATTATACTTGCAGAACATATGTGATATTATTTTGTGTTAATTATGTCTGCAGCATTTTTGCTACTTGAAAATGTATGAATTGCAAATAGATGTTGGGCCCTAAAATCAAATAATCTTGCTGCATTATCTAGCCAGTCTAAGCAGAAGGCAGAATTCCCTCTCATAGCTGAACTTAATAGGTTTTGTGGCTTACCACAAGATTGGAGATGCTAATTACAGTGGAGAGACAGAACTCATCTTTAATCAGAATTAGCATTCCAGGGATTAAGTACAAGAGTTCTTTATCTAACAAAATACACACATGTGCTGCATATTTTGCACAGCTTGTGTATAGCAATGTTCCTGTAAAAATTTTCTTTGTCTGCAACCAGTGATCATACAGTATCGAAAGAAAGCTAACGCCACAACATGTAGCTATTCCATCTAGGGTTTTTTTTTTAAGAAGAGCTTGTGAAGCTATTACCTTTATACAGACTTGTTAACCACTTCTGGAGTCAGAAGCGTGCCTCACTCTGATCTAATACAGAAGTGATGCCAAACCTCCATTTTTTCCCAGCAGTTTGCAGAGTCCTTGCCTCTCAATTCAAACCACACTGACTCACCCAGAGTCACTTATAGTATGAATTCCATCCTTCTTCTTTGTGGTCTGTGAATCACACAAATGGTTTATTCCGTGTTTGTGCAGAGCGCTTTCTCTCTGAAACACACAGAAGCACCTTCCCCATGGTGCAATCCCACTCTGTTACAGCGCATGGATGGATCCTGGACCACTTAGTGAGTCTTTTTCTCTAGTCTGTTGTTCTCTGACATGGCTTCCTTCATGTCATAGGGAGGAGGGAGCAAGCTTGTTTTCTTCTGCCCTGAAGACTAGAACATGGAACAATGGCTTCAAACTACAAGAAAGGAGATTCCACCTGAACATTAGGAAGAACTTCCTGACTGTGAGAGCTGTTTAGCAGTGGAACTCTCTGCCCTGGAGTGTGATGGAGGCTCCTTCTTTGGAGGCTTTTAAACAGAGGCTGGATGGCCATCTGTCATGGGTGCTTTGAATGCAAATTTCCTGCTTCTTGGCAGGGGGTTGGACTGGATGGTCCACGAGGTCTCTTCCAACTGTGCGATTCTATGATTCTAAGATATTTTGGCATCTCAAGTAGAAGTTCTCAAAGTGATTCCCACACTCCTCCAGTGGAATTTTCTTAAAGAACTAGCTTTATTGAATTGAATTGGTGCTTCAGGCAGACTCTATGATTCTCTTGCACAGCTCCTGTTAATGTAAACAAGGTAGGGGCCTGTCCATATGGGATGTACTTGATGGAGATCTCATCCTTTCTAGTGCCCGAAACCTGTTGTCTAAGACAGATGGTTCATCTTGTAGCTACTGAAACACTTTTATAAAGGAAGTAATACAGATGTGATGTGAGAGATGAATACTTGAGATGTTTAATCCTAGAAAAGTTTCTCTGCTATTCAAATGCAAGGACAAGACGTGGCCCACTGCAAATATAAACATGTTATTCTGAAAGTGGCATTGCTATATTTGGTAGCTATGGGCCTTGATTCCTTCCTCAGTAGGAAAAGAGTCAGCTGTGGCCAAGTGTAACCTTAACTTTCAATGCCTGCCCTAAAATAATACCTTCAATTTTTTTTCTGTCTCTTCGTTTCTGGGACAAAATTTTCTCCCTCTCATGTTTTATTAGTTTCATCTGACTTTTTTACATGCTCAGTTGTACAGTTTATCGGCACTCCATGTGCTAGCCAGCAAACAAGCCCCCCCCCCCCAATTTTGGGAGACAGACCCCTCTCTTTCTCTTCATTGCTCTCTTTCCCTCTCATAAAGTTGTAACATAGGAGTTAAGTTCAGAAGGTGACAACACCTGTTCACAATTTAAAGGAAATGAAAAGTTTTTTTCCCATGGATGTAAGCATGAAATTCATACACATATGTATGCATATACAATTTCACCAGCATACACCATCCTGTGGTAGACAAATGCAAACCAGAATTACTGCCAGGATAAATTTATACTCTTGAAGACATATGGATATGTTTAAC